TTACTACTACTGAAGTGAGGTGTAGATCGTGACTCTCTCACATCGGTAAACCAACAAAGGATCCTTTTTTAGCATCGCCACTCCATAAGCACCACTACACTCTCTTCCGCATCACACATCTCCTATCCCTATCATGCCCACCCCTTGCCTGCTCCTCCAACTCCCGTGCATGGCCCTCCCCAGCGATATCCACATCCACCTCCTCAAACCCCATCCTCGCATAGAACGGTCCATTAAATCGCAAATCCCGATACGTCGTGAGAGAAACATACTCGTAACCCCCCTCTCTCGCCTGCCCTTCCACCTCCTTAAGCAGCATCCGCGCAATCCCCCTCCTCTGCCAGTCTTCGTGGACGTCCATCTCCGCGATGTAGAGCATCCCGTCTAGCCCTTGCACGGCGATGAAGCCTACTGCTGTGTTGTCTGCTGTGACTGCAACCCATACGTTCTGCTGCGCGATCATTGAGCGCAGGGTGACTGGGTCAAGGGGGGGAGAGTCGGCGATCCAGGCGAGATTGACGGTGCGGAAGAGCTGGGCTGCGGAGGTTTCGATGGTGTTGAGCTGTGGGATGTCTTCTTCAACGGCTAGGCGGATTGAAATTTTGGTCGTAGGTGGGGCAGTTGCCATTGTGGTTCGTGGTGGAATTGCTTGAGTATAAGTACCGGAGGATGGTGCTGCAGGTTGTATGTTTTAGTGGTTGTTTAGTCGCATGGCAAGGCCGTAACGGCTGTTATATATGTTGAAGTACCCACTGTTAGCTGATCCTAGGCAACACTACAATAAACACCAATCAAATACGAGTACGAGCGTGCGCCAGTTCTAGATAGTTTGAGTCATACTAGATTCTTGGACTATGAAAAGCGAGCAAAGCCAGGAATCGTTATCAATACAATCGTCGAGAACTAAGCAATGAATTTTTGTGCGTCCACATTCATAAATAGACCATTGTCTCATAGATCGTAAACAAATTAAGCCCACGAAAGCCGCTGGATATCCTCCGGGATCTGCCATCCATGCGCCAGGCATGCCCTCTTGTACGCTTCAACCGCCTCGCCAACAGAATAGTCTGTGCGAGACCGGTTCAGCGCCAGACGCGCAGGACGAGGCTCAGTGTTTGTAATTGCCATTCGGACTTGCAGCAACACGCTCTCGATAGATGCCGTCGGGAGCCAGCCTGAATTGGTCAGAAGTTCCATACACATGGCCCCGCCGGCGGTGACGTGCCCACCACCGCCATTGGCAAACTCCAGGAACCGCGGCCGGATCACGCGGACAAACGGAGGAGACATAGGGAAGCCCGGGGGGAAGCGCAGTTCCAGCACGACGCTTTTCATATTCGCTTGCTTGAGGTCTTTCGCGAGCGGGAGCTTGGGGTCGAAGCTGTGCAGTTCCACGATCCACTGGTATACGGTGGTTATAAAGTCTGGGTCGATGTACCAGCCCAGGTCGTGAAGGGGCTCTCGAGATTGGACTTTGAGAGTCGCTTGGAGATGTTGTTGTAGAACCTTGGTCGCTGGTGTGGTTGCATATTGGGGAGGTGTCAGCAACGGAAGTGATTCCTTTTTGAGAGTTCCGGGCTCAAAGTCACTTTTCACACCGTTCTTGGATGGCTTGACTGTCGGGCGCTCCTCTACCTCGCCCTCGTCTTCTGAGAGAAGAAGCTGAAGATCGTCGAATGCTGTGGCCACACTGACAACGTCATCGTCCTCTGAGACTATGTTGTTTTTCGAGGAGTCAGGAGTAGGCAGTTTATCAGCATCCAGCTTTCGCTTCTTCCTTCCAGGTGATGCGGAAATGGCAAGGTCAGAATCAGTTCGGCTAACAATACCCAGGCTATTTCTTCGCTGGCTGTTCAGAGCAGAGATTGGAACGCAGATCGTAGTTTTATTAGGCCCCTGGGCTGGGTACTTCGGATCCTGTTGATACATGGCTGATGGTTTTGCATGTTTTACATTTGCTGTACCATCGCTGGGCCCTGCACCTTGGCATTTGACGAAGAGATATCTCGGCTGTATCCAGTCCAGCTGGGTGACGACGTAATGCGGATTGGTATGTTTGAACTGAGCTGGTGCGTTGACCAGCTCGTTTAGCGAGACCAGCATCCTGATCTTCAAATTGCTCTGAGGCCAGGCGTAGTCGAGTCCTTCGCGCGTGTAACCTACGGAGGTATGGAAGTTATTTGACAGGTAAACCCCATCCCCATAGGCGCGACCGTTTGTAACCTCTTTGAAGTGCAGACCTTCTCTGAGAATACTGTGCCAATTCCACACTGGACTTCCGTGCCAGGCAAAAATGGTCGGGTAATCTGTCTTGGTAATAGTAGCGTTAGCGGCGACGGCGGCTCTGAAGCGCTGCTCTTTGTCTGGGGCCCCTTGTACAAGCCGAAACTGCTTGTATGACTCCATTCCAGTCACTCGATGGTCAGAATGCGTGGTATCATCCTCCAGGATAAACGAGCGGTTTGACGCAACGACCCAGCGCAGCACGTCAAGTGCTGCTGGGGAAATGACCTCCCTCCAAGCAGCCAGCCTTTTGCTATCAGAGTCCGCAAGGAAAGCTTTCATCTTATCAACATTGGGGAGGGTATCGAGGAGCAGTCTGACCGCAGCTCCTTTCTCATTGACGTCAAGGTCATCGAAATTCGTCTCATAGGCCACGAATTTGACCTGTGATGGGCCAGGCAGAAGTTCGGATGCTGTGAGCTGCTGCCCCTTCACAGTGGGAGAGGAGAGTTGTACCTCACACGTGCCTAGATCAATGGTCTCTACTCGACAATGCCAGGGCCCATCCTTTAGATCTGTTCCAGTCTGAAAAATGACCACCCAGTCCCCGGGTTTTAGATGCGTGCGCTTATCCAGGCGACAGGCCATTGTTGCAGGGACCAAGTTGCCACTGTAACAGGTTGGGACCTGAGAAGAATTCTTGTTCTTTAGCTTTGTTAGATGATGTTCGATCTCGTCAAGCCTATTCATGTTTAGGATCCCTGGGACCTTGAGGCCTAGGCCTGTGGGGAAATCCATGAGTTTACCGGATACTGCCCGAGCATATGTCAAACTGATGAGCAAATCAACAACGCTAGGTTGGAATTGAATCTCGTGTTCCAAGCTCGGGCCCATGCCGAGCGCCATGTACTGGAACAAGCACAAACTGTTGGAGCAAACGTACGGCTTGATTGCTTCAAAAGTATCGCGGATTTTGCAATGGCAGACCAGGCAGAATTCTGTGCACTTCACAAAGTGGCGAAGAGTGAACTGCATCGCTATCAACGGTAGGGACAATTGATCAACCCCATGGCCTTGATCTATATGGTCATCTTGCAGTACGGCCGGTGCGGAGGCACTCCAGGTATCTGGCTCAAAGTAGTCGTCGGGTAGAGCGCCATCGTCCGGCTTCCTGCCCTGATTTTGCTGAATATAAAGCTCCGCACCGGTCCATGACAAGCCCAAATGATATCGCAGTTCCATAATCCGGAGGAACCTCTCGTTCAGGAGCGAATCCAGCGGTTGCTCAATGAACAGTGATCTCAATCGCGCGGTCCCTGTTAACCCTTCTTCGCACAGTGAAAGATTCCCTTGAAAGGCTCGGATGGCGTCTTCGACAGTTGGCTTGTAAGAGTCACATAGTCCAACGTGGAACTGGATTGCAGGGTACTTCGCATTTCCAAGTGCCAGCAGTTCCTGAAAATGCACATAGGTCCCTGGATAACGAATGAGTAGAACCAGGTATTCCGAAGCCCGGACATTCCATGCTTTCATGGCCTCCTCAGATATGCCTAGTCTACCGATGCGACAGGAGACTGATACAATTATAGCGCCTGTCAGTTTTCCCAGACAACCCACTTTAAGACCGGCATTTTTCACGGCGCGAAGGTCGCGGCGCAGGGTTTTTAATAGATGCTTTTCATCTGTCCGCGAAATGCCAAATGCGGGTTCATTTTCCATATCCCAGTCAACCTCGTCTTCGTCAAAGTCAGTCTCGTCAACCCCATAGCCAACCTCCTCGTCGTCATCGGCTTCGAAACCGGGTCGCCGGAGCGCGTCTTGGACGACCTCGTCGATGTAAGTCAGGAAGTCTTCAAGTGAAACCCCTGAAAATCTGGACTGGGCATTTTCTAAAACAGTAGCGACCCTTGACGGAGGATCTTCGGACGTGGTGAAGACAAAGTACGTGTGGTTTTCGGGATAGTCTTGGGTATCTACCGAGATGTCAGTTGGTCCCGATCGTGAGCAGGTCCTGGAGAAGCCTTACCTGATACTATGGCTTGGAAATCAATCCTGGTACCGGCAGAGGGATCAGCGAACGTGAAAGTGATAGAGCCATCATGATCCCCTGCTCTGACACCGTTCAGATATGGGAATCTGCCTGATATTTTCGCACCAATCAGGTCTTTCTGAAAGTCTTTGCGAGGCATGTTGCCTCGCGCAGAAGGGATTAAAGGGGGGCCTGCAATTCACAAAATATGAGCTTCTGTAGTTTGGGATATGTCGCTGATTTGATCAAGGTGATGGGAGAACGTGGCTGACGTTGGATATTTGATGATGTGTTGTAGTGAGAGAAAGGTCAGTCAAAGAACAAGAGGCGAGGTTGGCATCCCTTAGATGCCTGTCCAGGCTGCAGCGGTCATGGATACCTAGTTTTCTCTCCCTGCACAACCATGGTATTGCCATTTCTATCCTTGAGTGGTTTCAAGCCTGTGCCGTAAAAGACTTGGGTAGCGTTTCTGGGAATTGCGTCATTCTTTTCAGTTCTATATCTTAATCTACTTCGTCGACTTAGGTGGTCTCTGTTTGTTCGACGCTCCTCACTCATTTCCATTTGACTCTGAACCATTTACTCTTCCCCAGCAGCAGTCCACCCTGCAGCCCTTGGACACAAAGAGTTTGAAATTCGTCTTCTGATGGTATACAAAGAAAGTGGCTCTGTATCGCCAGCTCCAAGCCTCCAACAATCCATCCTCATTTGGTTTAGTTCTGCCTCAGGCAAGGTTTCCCCCCGAGTCAGCTATTCTGATTGGCCAGCCCCTGAGTCCCTGACCAAAGGCTTCGCTCGTCACATGACTCGACAATTCCTGACTGCCCAAAATAGGAAATAGGGCACAATGTCAGGGCTATGAGGATCATGCACATTGGCAAAGTTGTTGAAGTAGATTACTACTTTCCAAATCCAGATGTTCTATCATTCATTCATTTAATCTTCTATTCTCTACGGCCCTACTATCTGATCAGAATATCGGGCCTCCTTTCTTGACCTCTTTGCATCGTATCTATATATCTTACCGCTATATGTCCGACAGACGCTTCCGCCATCAAAACACGGGACTGCCTTAATACGATTGACTAAACGGAGTTGTCAACTTCCTACGTGTTATACGTTCGACCGGGAATGACATACGGGATACGTCAATAACTGGACTCATTGGAACGGTCCTTCGATATGAACGTGTGCACGGTGAATGATCGGCACGAGCGAGTGTTTGCCGTGTACCCCTCTATGCGAGGGACATTCGGTACGGTGAATCTCGTCGAACATCAACCGATGCTGCCCTTTGCCATAGCAGGAGAGATACATACCACGGTCTGAGGGCGATATTGGGGAAGTTGTGCGATGTGATGGCTGTTTGAACTCGAGAACGGTTGCGTGGGGCTTGAAAGTCTTCAATCGACAGGCCCAATGTGTCAGGTTATTGCGCCGCTTTGTACAACATGGAAGGCTCACATGTTGGTTTGGCCACGCTTCCTACGGACTTGGACCGTATCAGGTGCTCCATCTTCGGGTTTGAAGAACGCCAGCGCAAGAGATACGGGATCCTCGCGGGGATTGGCCATATGTCGCAATTAATTATCAAGAAGAGCGGACCGGCAGACAATTGTTAGGATGCAAAGAGCTTGGTGAGTGCTTATTAAGAGACAGCGGGTCATGTTCTAAAGCGAAATATACTGCAGACACAAATCGTACAGAAAGAAATGAATCAGACATTAACAGCCTGCACCTGAGTCTGTTCCACGTGCTCGACCTCCACGACCTTTGCCACCTCAACATCCGACTGAGGTTGGCTTTTGGGGTAGAAATCAATCTTGCCTCCATCCTTGATCACCCCCGTTCGGTCCAGATAGTTCCGACTACGCACGTACGGGTCTAGCTGCCAGTAATTCGACCGCAACTGCTCAATCAACCCATCTCGATGAGCCTTGGCAGCTGCCGTCTCCTCCTCGTCCTTGTTCTTGATGGCTGTGACCCACTTGGAGGTGGCATTGAGTAACTCGTCGCCAATGCTGGCGCGTTGGGCCAGCAGAGCATCACGCGCGGTTCTGTCTTCCATGCGGTCGTTCTCGTTCTCGTCAGGCTCTACGTACTCGTACGTCCAGTCCTCGGTCCCGCCGAGTTCCTTGACGATCTGGTCGCGGGGAATGAACTTCTCCATGTCGGCAATGGTCCTGGTGAACTGGATCTTGGAGACAATGACGGGATCCATCCAGCCTTTGATGAGGCGCCAGATACCTGGTCTCGTCAGTCGATACTCTTCCAGCAGTAGGAAAGAATCGTACCTGAGAACACCCACGGCGCGTTGTGAATGAGCAGCACACCCAGTGACTCAGGGTAGTTTGCTTCAAAGCATTTAATGATGAACTTGACGGGAGGATATTCCATATTCGAGAGACCGAATCCGGTCATATCGAAGACAACAGCCTGCACTCGTCAGTTCTGTCCAGCCAAAGCGGAAAGCGATTGCTTACAGCAGTCTCCACCGGCGGCACGAGCAACAGCCGCACGGACTCGATAACGTGGATAATAAATTGATTCAATGTCTCTTCGCTCTGCGCACCGGGCTTATGCAGCTTGACCCGGATCACGACGATGGGCCGGCCCAGCCGATCAACACCGTGCACGTACGCCTTTCCCATGCGCATCTGCGCCAGAAAGTCCTTGCCATTCTTTGCGGCCACAGCGTTGGAGGTATCTCGCGACGCCTTGAGCGCATGCAGCTCGCCCTTGGCGATGACTTCCTCGTCGACGTGGAACTCCTTCATGCGCCACAGGATGGCATCCAGCATCATGACGAAGGCCTTGTTGACGTCCCACTTGCGCGCGCGCAGGAAGCGCAGGAGCAGTGCATCTGGGTGATCGTGTCTTGCGGTGCTCAGGAGTCCATCGCGAATTTCCTCCGGTGTAATCTGGGTGAGGATGTGTTGGACTTGTTTGATTTCCGGGGCGTGCAGCCCTAGCCCCTGGAGGTGCTGAGAGATCTGAGCAGCGTAAGCGGGGGTAGTGGCGGTGCTGCCCTTTGAGGCGGTCGTGTTGGTCCGAGCGAGGGAGGAGTTGCGTCGGTGTTGAGACTCATTTGTGTCGGTGGTGGTGGATGTTAGAGCGTCGGACAGAGTCAAAATGATGATCCATAACTGCTGGAGTTTCTTCTGTTGCTCTGCGGTGAGATTTCCGAGGAATCCTTCGGGAACGTTCGTGGGCGCCATTGTCTGAGACTCTGAGTCAAGTTCTCAGTCGAAGAATGTCTGGAGAGGTGTCTGGCCGGTCAAGCTGGGTCGACCCTATATATTAATCCAGACCAGCCTTATTGCGCACAGGGCATATGAAAGTCCCCCGCATGGATCGGCATACCTCGGTTTCTACACGTCCATTATTGAGACATAATGTCATGATAAGCGCTACGAGAAATCAGGGACCGTTGATCCGTCCCCGCGATTGTGGATCAACCCCGTGGCTTATCAAGTTCATCGCAACTCAAATTTCCAGTCCCGACGCATGGACCGAACCTAGGCTTAATACACCGTGGTTGTATGCTTTGTATGCTCGCGGTCTACACGTGCTAGCGAAGATCCTTGATCTGGCGCATGCATGGTCCAGCAGTTCTACGCGCCTATCTGGGAATCCCTTGACTCCAGCACATACTCCGTACATAATATCTCCGCTCCGTGTACGCGCCGACCCGCTGAATGGCGCTTACCTACAAACAACACCCTGTCCTCAAAAATGAGATTTAGTTTCAACCGTCTTGAATTTGCATGAATAACCCTCAATATTGTTTTTGAATCTACCCCGGAGTCGACCACCCCCGCATTCGCGACGATTCCCCAACTGTCGATCGCCGACATCGACAAAACCGAGAGGTGCGGCCAATTACGCTTTGATATGAATAACCAGACCCATCGGCAATTACATTATTTACAGGCCACAAAAAATTTGAGCGATCCACAAGATCCATCCTTGGAGTACTCCGCAGATACTTGCTAAATTGTTGGAAAGCGGGCGCAGCTAGACTCCTTCCGGTATGCACTGCGAGGTTGCCAGTGCCGCTGATTGGCCCTCAGATAGACAGTTTTGAGACTCATCATTTCTCAGTCTTCTAACTCATCCAGGAACGAAATATTACTCGTTTGGGAAAGGAGTGCGATGGACTCCAAGTTTGACTGAGGTGTATGTAGGTCCTTGCCACCACGGTTCTCGCGATGTGCAGTCTCAGGGATGCATCATCTGCTCCCGAATTCGGGAGAGAAGTGGGTTCCCCCTACCCCGTGATGGACAGTTGTATCAATTCCTCGGTTCTGTCTGCTTAGGCCCAATGCCAGGACATTGTGGTGCTCAGATTGTTTGACCTACAGCGACATGCTCGAATTCAATGACTGAATGTTTCAACTATCGAATCTTTGAGCGCTGTATTGCCCCAAACTTGCCTACCAAACCTAGGAGTGCATCACATTGCATCGGAATATCTGAGATTACGCTATCTCAACACCACTGCACCAACATATTAAAGCCACCGTTCATCCGATAAGGCTCCTAGCAAGAAGCACCCGAGGGAACATTTTCGCACTTGGAGCTCGTCTCCCCGCCGGTGATGTCCACGCCCTCCCAGGTCCAGTCACTGCAGCTACCGTCTCCGCACAGAATGTACACCTCAACGGCGTCAGACTCGACTGTGCCTGTGACACCGTCGATGGTCAGGTCGGTGATGGGAACACCAGTGGTCGGGGTACCGGTCGGGCTGCCGTTCTCGTAGTCCTGCTCGATGACGATACCATAGTCGGTGATACCGGACAGCTTGATGTTGGAGTAGGTGATCTCGCTGACGGAGCCGGTGGCATCGTACACGGTCTTGATGCGGACGCCATTGGCCGAGTCGGTCACAGTGGAGTCGGTGATGGTGACGTTCTTGACGGTGTTGTCGTCGCGACCACCGACCGAACCGATGGAGAGACCGTGGCCGCCGGAGCAGGTACCGCCGGAGAATTCGATGTTCTGGAGTTGGAGTCAATTAGCTTCAACACCAACCTGCCAAAAGAGGGCCGCGGAGCATACCTCGCCCGAGTTGATGGCAATGCAGTCATCCTGGTTCTTGACGGTCGCGCCGCGGATGTACACCCCGGTACTCTCGCTGATGTCGAACCCGTCGGTGTTGTGCCCGCCGTTGTCATCGCCATCCGAGTTGTCGATGGTGATGTCGATCAGGTAGAGGTTGGTCGCCTGGACACTGATGGCCTGCACAGGGGTGTTCTTGATGGACAGCCCGGTGATGGTCGAGTCCTCAAGGCTGTGCGCGTACATGGACTTTGGCTTGGTCTTGCCGCCGTTGGTGCCCTCGCCGTCCCACCAGCGGGAGCCCTCGCCGTCAATGACAGCGCCGGAGTTCTGCTTGACGGTGATGTCCTTGCCGCCGAAGCGGATCAGGGGGCCGCTCCACTCTTTGTAGCCGAAGGTGGTGGTGCCTTCGAAGACGATCTTTGGGGGGGTTAGTATAGTGGCTATGGCAGGGAGATGAGCACGGCAGCGACGTACGGTAGTTCCATCATCGACATCAGACAGATCCAGAGTCTCACCGGCAGGGACCTCGATGTTGTCCAGGACAATCTCGGAGCAACCGGACGCGCTCTCGGTAGCCTGGGAGGCCGCGGTGAAGGTACAAGTTGAAGACCTCTTGGTCAGATCCGACACGCGAGACGGAGTAGGGGCAGCAGCGACGATGGAGCCCAGCGCAGCCAGGCCAAGAAGCTCAACGGAACGCATGATGAATGAATGAATGAATGAAAGTTCCGATCAACAGAACAGGTTTCGGTCGGTAAAATGAATCTGCTCAACAGGTACGAAAGAAAGGAAGGTCGGCTTGAAGGTTACAGCTTGCTAGGTAGACACTGCTTCCATGACACACTCCCTTATATACCCATCGACGTTCAGCACAGCTCAGTGAAACAAAGCTTCCACAAACTTGGCTCCAACTTGGCTCCGGCCAAGCCGGTACTTGAATGTCTGCAATGTGAAGCTCATTGGTGGAAATTACAAAATTCATCAACCTCGAACGGCTATCGGAGGTTAGCCGGGTCAGGAGGATGCTTGGTCTGGGGATCGTCGTCATCAAGGAGCTAGGGCGTGGTGCGGGATATCAGAATGCTCCACTGAGAGCCATGATTAGTGCGGTGGATGGGCCGTAGGTGGTTCGACAGGACGTTCGGTGTCGCACTAGTCTGTTGGAATTTCTCTTCCATATTTTCCTTCAGCGTAGAATTAATCCACTGCAGTGATCCTCTGGGATCATTTTCATTGCAGTCAGCCTGGGAAACATACAGATGCCTCAGCAGTTCAGCAGGGAGCTTGAAAGTAACGCATCTTTCAAGGACACAGTAGACGGTTTCAGATTAATTCTTCGGTCTCGTGTATCATTGAAAAGACACAAGTACTGCCTACTCATTCCCATCCTGAACGGTGGAATAATGTCGATTCAAAGGATCTTATTGATGATCCGCAGTCATAAGCATTCGTCAGGTATATAGCGCGCATGCATCTGCAATATACATAGATTAAGTGCCGCGCAATGCTCTAGAACGGACTATTCATCCATCAGTCAGAAATCCCGACTCGGCTATTTCGGTATGATTCAGTGGGTTGAAATATGGATGTTGATTTACGCATAAAAAAACTGCATCCACCAATAACATGCAGAGACTAGCGCAGGGGATATAATGCAAGAACTGTCTAGATCATTTATGTTTGTCTGGAGGAGTGGCTAGACTGGCGCCATGACAGGAGTCCCCACGTTGCCGGATGACGCGGCCATATATAATGTCCCAGGACGAGTAATAGGGGCTAGAGTGACTGCCGTCAGTGCTATTGCTCGCATCGAAATTGACTCTGGCGCGCTCTCGTCTTCAGTCCTATTTGAGTCGCTCCAATGACGTCCTGAAGTTGTTGAATCTTCGACTTGATCAGCTACTACTTTGTCATTGGCTGTGCTCTGAATATTATGTTAAGCCTTCTTATGAGCATACAACTCACTATGCAAGCATTATGGAAAAGGAACGAAGGCATCACCACATATAGAATATGACAGGGAGACCATGGGGCATCTACACTTAACGATACAAGACAATCAGATCTTCTGCGTTTATTTTGAAGTAAGTGCATTACGAACATAGAAAACGGCTAAGCCACACAACTGGATAATAAAATCCTAGAGGGTAATCAACCAAAAACAAAATGATGAAGAGAGTAGAGTTAGACTTGTAGTCACCTTTAGTGTCCCTTTCCCACAAAAGAACAGCCGCCAGGACCCAAGACATTTTGCGCAAAAGATCCATCCAGGTGGGCCATATACTTCACCTTTGGATCTTTATCATGGATAAAGTTAATGAGCATGTCCTTCAACGCTCGACGTATTCGACATCAATAGCTGGGAATATGACTGTGCCACGGCGCACAAGCAACGTCTCGTAGTCCCTGTCTATGTCCTCCGTCTACATCCCATGTCGGTGATAAATGGGAGTTCTTCAGGCGTGCGGCATGCAACATGCATATTGCATGGTCGCCGATTTACATGGGTGCAATGATCGAAACCCGCTTCCTTTCCTGGAGGACCATATCAAGGGCCTGTGTATCGTTCACACCGAACAAATTAAGTGACTAGGAGCGGGCCAGGAATCTAGGCAGAAATACCGGATTCCCCGATGTCGACAATGGCGAGGTATTGGTCCATAATCTGAGAGTGGAAAAACCTAATCGCTGGTTATCGATCTGTGTTGCGGATCAGGATTCAGGGCTTGCAGCTTGGCGTGTGTCGGAGAAGGTCGTCAGGATTCAATGGAAGATAGGCCAGCAGGTGTCCAACCATAAAATAGTATATCACAGAATATGACCTGCACCCCTTAAGGTTGAGCAGGGGTCGACGTTGAGCCAGATTTGGCCGGACTCAGCGAACACACGCTGAGCAGCATATGCGGGGATATATCAAGTAGCTTTCTTGGTATTGACTGAAAGGATGACTTCCAGCTAGTAATAGAAACATGGGTGATGGACGACATAGAAGCTGATATATTGTTCCTTTTCAAGATATCAAAAGGCAGGCCTTACTCCTTAGCCAGCACAGCCAGAATTGCCAAAGAAACAGTCCTCTGCTTTCAAGTCTTAAAAGGGGTTAATATTGATAGGAGCCTTAGGCACTCCCTACTCCCTATGGACCACCGTATTGGGTACTGTTACGCACCACTTATGCAGCTCTAGTCACCTGATTTGTTACTGGACTGGGAATTCTCATAACAAAAATTAATATGACAGCTCCACCGGTTATTCACAGCTCAGACAAAGGAATCCATTCACTCCTTTGTTTATCAGGCAGAACAGGTAGTCGCCCTCAGTCATCAAAAAAGTATAAGAAACCTGTCCTTCCAGTCCTTAGATACTGGTTTTAGATACAGTAACGTCGCCATGGGTAGTGTTGTTGACCTGGCGTCGATGGACGATCTAAGCAATCGTTTTAATCATTTTCTTAAGCAGGACGCGGAAAGGGCCCAGCTTATCGAGGTAAGACGCCTTCACCGCCCCTATCTCACTAGTCGAAAATGCTGATCTGATCAGGTCGTGTTAAGAAAAATCAATGAAGATAAAGGACGACTGGATACTCTTACCATCGAACTGGAGCATGAACGAGAGTCCCGCCATAGGTACCAGCTAGAGCTCCGCGATTTGCGAGAACAACGGCAAAGATGGGAACAACTCTATGTAAGTTGAAGTTGTCGTACACAGTATGAATTGCGCTAACGTCTAATCCCGAGTAGAACAAAGACCCATATGTGGCAGTCCTGGTTGATGGTGACGGTGCCATCTTCAATAACGAGTTGCTGCAGGACCCTCGTCAGGGGGCCCCTGAAGCTGCTCTGCGACTCACTGAGGCAGTGAGAAACTACCTTAAGGATACACCTCTTGGCTCCGAGGACGTTCCTATTGTGGTGCGGATCTTTGCAAACCTGAACGGGCTGGCCAAGTCGCTTTTCCACCACAATGCCATCGACTATGAGGATAAGATGCGGGTATTCGCCGAGCAGTTTACTAATAGTCGTGCCGAGTTCGATTTCGTCAATGTCGGTCACGGCAAGGAGAACGCTGACTCTAAAATGAGAAGTAAGTCTCAGATTGGTTGACAGGTATCTCGCTGACTTGATATTCTGGCAGAGATGTTCGGTCATTTCTATAAAAACTTCCAGTGCAAGAAAATCTTCTTCGCTGGTTGTCATGATAACGGCTATCTTCATGATCTTCGCGAATACGCAGGCGAGTCGGGCAGACAGCGCATCGTTCTTTTGGAGACTACTCCTGCGCAGTCAGCCTTCTCTCAGCTGGGCTTTGAGATGACCCGATTTGATTCTGTTTTCCGCAGTGATTTTCTCGGATCACCGCCCGTCCCCCCTGCGTCTTTGACTGCTCTCAGAATACAACCAATGACTACGGCCCCTGCCGACAGTGGAGTTACTACACAGCCAGCGATCGCTCCTCCGTCTACTGTTACAAAGGAAAGCCCTATCGCGCGACCGGCAACGACAAACACTGTCCGCACCAACTCTCCCGCGGTAGCACCGCCCGAGCGCCAAGCGTCCCCCGCAGTTGGAACGGTGGTTAGCTCCGGCAACGGGGGTGTCTCGATTAAATATCCGACATACGCCAGCGCCGGCGGTGCAAACGGTCACCATAACGTCGTCATCGCAGCTAGTGCCAAGTCTAAAGCGCCACGAGTCATATACTACAACAGCAACGGGCAGCGCATCGATCCTCCCAACAACCGGCCCGCGAACCCGAACGACCATCGAACCTACAATGAAAAGTGCCTGAGAATCAAACCAAAAGCCTTCTGTAACGAGCAGTATCTGGCGGATGGCTGCTCCAAGGGACCGAATTGTCCGCAGGAGCACGAAATCAAACTGACGCCGGGCGAGCGCGCGGTCCACCGATGGAAAGCCCGCGGCAGTCTATGTTCTAACGGTCCTTACTGCGAAAACTATCGGTGCTACTTGAGTCATCACTGTACATTTGGAGACGGCTGCACTTGGGGCACGACCTGCAAATTCAAGACATCCCGCTGGGGAGATTTGCATCATTCCAAAGTTGATTTAGAACCTGAGTAAGTCATTCCCACCTATCTTGATCATCCGCTGACATACTCCTAGTACTAAATGGGTTGAAGGCAACGATTTTCCAGAGAGAGTTGCATAGTCCTCGGAACAACATCCTTGGGATGCGGATATCTAAATCCGGGAGTACATAATTGTGCCCATGTTCTTAGATGTCCCACAGCCTAGAACATCAGTTCCTTCTATCTCTTATGACCTTCACTTTGCCTGCTGGTCAGCAAGACTAAGCCTTCATTTTGAGCCATCTTTATCTTGGTCTACATTTGACAGTCATCTCATATCAAGTATCTAACCATTATTCCATAGTGCTACTAGTCACGTCTATGATTATTAGTTGGACCTCAATACAAGTGATTTTCTAAACTGACTAGTAAAAAAGCTAAATGAGAGTGTCCTACGAACCCTCTAATCGAATGATCTTCCAGAATGCAGTTTTTGAATGATACGCTTTCTATGTTCGAATCAAACGAACACCCGCATGACGGCATCCAGCATCATGCCATTAACCAAGGAAACGCAATATAGCCAGCTATACCCCAAAAGAAAACAAAACTAATATGACCATCTAAAATCAGGACAATCCGGCCCCTCATGCAACCTCTCCGTCGAGACATCCTGCGCCCGAATCTTTCTGCCTTGAACTCTATCCCTCCGTTTATTATCCACCATCATCCACCCACCCAGCACCAACGTGAGCAGAATCCCCGTCCCCCCAAACGACGCGGTTGTAATAAGCGCAGGCATATACCGCGGCGCGTCCTGGCTACGGAAGATATTCGAGCTGACGACACCCATCAGGTTCGCGACGGGGACGGCGATGCTGGTTAGCACGACGCGGCGGCCCTCGTTTGCGATGTTGTTGTTGTACCAGACGTCTAGGAGGACCGACGGCGCGGAGGTTCCCCTTTGTCTATTGTTAGCTTTATATTAGGGTGGCTTGAGAGGGAGGGGAGGGACATACCAAGTCATCATGAAGGAAGCAAAATACGCAACGTTAATATCCGTCTCGACATCAATCGCCGCGTAGATGACGAACCCGATAAAAGTGAACAAAAACCCCAGGGCCACGAACGGGAACCGCCAGCGGGTCCAGTCGCTGCAGAAGGCAAGGATGAGGAGCATGGCTGCGCCGGAGACGTTGGGGGCCACAGTGTACAGATTCGTCTTGACGGTGTCGTAGCCGAGGCGTTTGATGATGGAGGGGAGGAAGAGCTGGACTGATTGGAGAGGCACACCGAGACAGATTTGGATGGCGAGGATGAGCCATGAGGTGCCGTGGCGGAAGATCTTGAATGCGTCGCGGAGGTTGAGTTTCTCGTTGACGATGGCGGAGCTGTCGCGCTGGAGGCGGAGGTATGCGAGTTGTTTCTCGTCGAGGGTGAGGAAGGATGCGTGTGCGGCGGAGCGAGGGAGGTACCATAGTGTGAAGAGTGCTACGAGGATTGTGCCTCCGCCCTCGATGAGGAAGAGGTAGCGCCAGGGGGCTAGGGGGCCGGATTGGATCCGGAAGACGCCGAATGCGAGCAGGCCGGAGAAGGCCGAGGCGATGCTTTGTGCTGCGTAGAAGATGGCGAGTCGGCGGGCTAGTTCGCCACGGCGGTAGAACCTGCGGTCGTCAGTGATGTTCGTTTGAGACTGGTAGAAGGACATACGTGGTGAGATAATAGATAACCAACGGAAAGAATGCACTCTCCGCCATTCCCAGGAACCAGCGGATCGCCAACAGGCCACTGAAGTTGAACACCGCGACGACAAGAGTCGTGCACAATCCAAAGGCGAACATCATGCACGGCAGCACGCGGTTTGGACCGTACTTCTTCCCCAAGATACCGAGAAACGGCGCCGTGAGGACATACGGAATGAAGAAGATGCTGAGGATCAAGTTGTACTGGTTTCCCTTGAGATTGAGCGTCTTCTCCAATCCGGCAGTCTTTGCATTTCCCACATTAGACTTGTCAAGACTGTTGAAGAGGTACATGACGGCCAGGACGGGGAGAACGCGCAGATCGAACTTCCAAACTAGGGCACGCTCTGCGCGAGGGTCGATGTCTGCGTCTGGAGGAAAGTCATCTTTGGAGAGGGCAGTCTCCGTGGTTCCCACGGGGTATTTGGTGTCTAAGGAAGCCATGATATGTTTACTGATACTGCCATGTTGGTATAGGCTGCGTCTCGTCCATGTCTATATACTCGGCCATCGTCCTTATCTCTCATGTCTCAGGATGATCCGGAGATATACCGATATCGGGGAAATGTACCCCATACCTTGGTCTAGATAAGCACCGACCAATCAAGTCATCTGGTGGCGCAAACCTTAGATATGATCAATGCGAATTGTTCATCCACCCCAGATAAAACATCGATAGAGGAGTCAATACGGGAAATGATTCCGAGTGTCTACCATCCAGTTGTTCTCGTCCAGACATCCACAATCCTCGATCCTTCACCATCCTCGCTCGAATCAACCACCAAGTACCACCCATACAACGCACCAGTGACACACGCATGGTTCGGATACAGCCTCACAGCCTGGCCAACCCGCACCGGGATTGCCGGCCCATTACCCCCCTCCCATGCGACAATCCCATGCTCCTGACTGATCCGCTCGACAATCAGACGCGACGCGCCAGTTTCGCTTTCGCGTCTCCAATTCCCGACGACCGCCCAACCGGGGTACGACTTGCACGGTTCCCTGCCTAGAGCGAGTGTCCCCGCCGCCACCAACGCCTCGGGCTTATCCCGCTCCCCCTCGTTATAAACGCTGCACACTTCAGCAATCACCGAGATGGCGATTTCCTCCTCAAAGCTACCCGAGCTCTGCGCATTCGTTGCTAGCTGCTGCATATCGAGGAGAGTATACACCCCCGCATGCAACTCTATCGTAAGCCTACCCCCCATCAGCGCACTAGGATCCCGCAAAAGGCCCTTCAATACCTTTGCATCAGGAGTTAGGGAAGCATCTTCGTGCAATAAGCTCTGTGCGGAGACAACCTGAGGTGTTGCGCCCAGGCTAATAACCAACTCCCTGTCCGACAGGAGGGAAGCATGCTGGCGCAGCGCCCGTACACACCCTTCAATCTCTGTTTTCAGGTAGGATATGGCTTCTTCCGGGCTAGTGGCGGCGTAGCTCAAGCTGCTGTGGGAGTAGATCCCAATCAGGATAGCGTGGCGTAGTCTCTCTTCTTGTAAGACTTTCTCAAGAAGTCCTTTTTTGTTGAGCATGTCTGGCGGGACACCGGCTCGGTGATATCCAGTGTCGATTTTGAGGAAGATACCTGCGGGGAGGCCGGCGAGCTCGCGGAACTGGCTCAGATAGGCTAGTTGATCTGGATGGTCGATCATGAGCGAGACGGGGGGATCATGGTCAGTCGTGCGTAGTTGACGAGCTAATGCAGCTAGGCGAGGGACCTGTGACGGGACGAGCGGAATGCCGTAGAGGACGTTCACACGGCGGTTTTGGAGCCGCAGCTCCTTGAGTAGTGGAAGAAGAGACTCCAGCTCGGCGACCGTCGAGATGACGAAGTTGGCGTCGCTGGACTCTGTGCAGACTTGGAGACGGGCGATTTGCGGTGTCTAGGTATCGTCAGTTTGATGTCGGGGCCTCCAGTGAGAGACGTACCTTGTGAGTTTTGACATGGGCCCGGAAACCTACGCCTAGCTGCTTTATTGTCTGCAGCATGGTCTGACAGTGGCGTTTGATGATTGCGACATCGAGAACGACTGCTGGTTTGGGAACGTCTCCGATGTCCTTTCCGATGTAGAGCTGCCTCAATTCCTCGTTGGTCGGGGAATATCCTGAAATAATGTTCGATGCCATTGCAGGAGTGATGCAGTTTGTCCGCTCTGTGCTGATGGTATAGGTGCTAAAACAGTTGCGCGAGATGACTCTCGCAAGATGGACAGATCACTGCGGGGATGTTCTCCACTTCGCTCATGATATTCCGAAAAGTGGACATCTTTAAGACCGGTAAAACCATCAGGCTGAACTGCTTACCACTACAAACTTAGACTCAATGAGTCAATCAATCTCAGCCTTCTATCGAAACGACGCTCCACTGCAAGAATTAAATTCTCTTCTTCCACCGCGGTGGTCAGCCAAAATACAGCATGATATCGCCCAATATCAATGACTCAGGCCAGCTGAAGTGGCCGCTCGGCTACACGTCCCAGCTTCAAGACTCAGACGACACTTGGTTACCTAGTAATTTGTGATTTGCCTCAATCGTACGACCAACGCGCAACCAAGCCCTACTCGCCCGTGGCGCACTCTTCCGTGGCGCAACTCCCACCAGCCTAATACCATACTGATCAAATAAATCGATCCCACAAGAAGCACACGGCAGCACAGCAGCCGCAATCGTGTTCTGGTACTTGCAAGCCCGACACTGCCAATAGAGATCCGATGAACCTATTCCCATGGATTTACGCTTGTGCGATAGGAGGCTCTCAACAATACCACGATGTTGCCTCCGAACTGCCCATTCCAGGCTGCACATTTCCGCGGCATCCTGGATGGTAGGGTCTGCCCCTGCTTCTAACAATCTCTCCACGGTAGCTTCCTGTCCTCTGTAACAGGCGACGATGAGGGGAGTTGCGTCGTTACGGCCGCCGGCCGCGTTGACGTTCGCTCCAGACTTGATGAGTCGGTCAACTAGGGGTACGATGCCGTACGAGGCAGCGTAGTATAGTGGCTCCGTGCGACGGGCTTGTTCAGCGGGCGCTTCGTACAAAAGTACCTGAATCCAGGATGTATAGTTTCCCCCGCCAGGGAGATGACGGGTATCGAAGAAGGATAAAATCTCATCAATTTCAGCCTCAATGAGAGGATAGCCTGGTGGCCAGGATGGACTGCAGTGGCTCGCCCAGTTCTCGGAGGCGTACTTGAGCAGCGGGTACGTTTCCCGACGCTCTGCGAGAGAGCGTCGGTTCGAGCAAGGCTGTTTGAACTCGTCAAACATCAGGTACGTGAGGCATTTTTGCCAGATGCGCCGTGATCCCTCGGTCTCGTCCAAGCTGTAGTACGCTGCTGGGCCGTACTTGATCGCGTCCGACGTGAGGAAAGCTTTGACGGAAGAATGCGCTAGCGCGACAAATGTAGTATGCTCGTCGTAGACAATCAGCCCTTGACAGATTGAGAGGATGACTTGCGGATCAAAAAGTCTACAGTCTTCATCAATGCTCTTGTCACCTTTCGTCAGGACAACTGCCTCGCTCAGCTCGGATAATGTGATCTCCTGGTAGCCTGAACTAAGCCAGAGGAGTGTTTCTCTTGCAATCTCCCGGTCATACGAAGGGATCCGACATAGTATGGTTTCGTAGGTGCCGTGTAGGCTTTCCGGCATACCTTCCAGAGCGCGAATGACTTCCCGGCCTGTTTTCTGGGCACTTAACAGGTCTATTTGACACTGTACGTACCGAAACCTTCAGTAATGTGTTAGTTTAATCTTTTAAGCTTGCGATGGAGCATACATACATTCCACCTGCTTTCTCAAGCAAGACCTGCTTGATGCGGGATTTGATGTGTTCCGGTAGCCGTTGAAGAGCTGGGACTGACGTTAGATGGGTATCGATAAATGCCTCAATGTCGATTCTATTAGTTGAAGGTCTCATTTGCGCCCTGAGGATACTAATGGTGGAATTCGACACTGGTGGTGAGGTCGTGCTCGTAACCATAATGCGAATGTTGTGTGATGATTCCAGGAGGGTGAGCAGTGCGTCCAGAATCTTTGCACTTTCACTGCTCTCATTGATCGCATCCACGACGATGAACAGCTTCGACAGCGACCTTGTGTATTTCAGAAGCAGGCTTATCAGTACATCTGGCTGAGGAAGGGCGCGTTTCTTGAAACTTTCTTGCAACTCGTCGAGGATGTCTGGACAAGTTTCAGATAGCTGTACCAGCAATGCTCCTAGCAGGCAGACCAGCTCCTGCGATGAACTCAAGTGGAATGAGCAGTAGTAGTAAATCACTTGACTGGAACCACGGTTGGCAACAGCACCTTTGACAGCCTCGATTGCCGTAGAGCTGATGAAGATTAGTAACTGGGATGGTGAGGAGTTCCCACAATATACCTACCATAGGACAGTCTTTCCTGATCCCGCTGATTCTGGTCAGCATATCTCTACACTCCACATCAGACGACTCACATTTTCCCTCTAGGGACAGCAACCGGCATTTGCTCGTTGATTCAATCCATGACTTGAAGGGCCCGTGGATAAACCAAGCTCCAGTACCAGGCTGACACAGCGATCGAGCCTTGCGATGCATCGAATCGAAATCAACCGGACATATCCACGTCTTGATCTTCTCGTTCGTTTTCTCTTCAATCATGAGACATGGACAATATATCAGATAGGCTAGGACCTACCTTCCCGTAATTGCCTCATTTCCCTACTCCAGTCCACAACAGCGTCGATAGAATGTGCCGTCTCCTTCTCAACGACCCTAGAAACCGTCAATTCCGCCTATGTCCCTCGGCTGGGAAAGAACACGCACGATCGATCATTCAAAATCACCAAAATAAAATACGTCTTCAACCTCTCCAACTGGGCAATACTTCCCTCCAGACCCACCTTCCTACTCGGCCACCCCAACTTCGCCAACCGCGACTGCCGCATCGTTCTTCTTTGCAGATCATCCAGGATCTCTTCCAGGACGGTATTCGCTTTGAGTAATGCATCCCGAAATGACGATGAGCTCGCTTGAGCAGCCTTTCCATCGCTATGGTCAGTCTGCATCTGTTCGAGAATCGCCTTCAGCGCGAACAACTCCCCGAAGAGCTCGCGGATCTCGCTGTCGGCATTATTGACCTGTTTTGCAAACTCGTATACTCGTTTCGTGGTGTGGACTACCTGTAGTATCAGGCCGAGAATGGAGATCGGGTCTGCCATGGCCGGTCGTTGTTACGCCTGAAGCTACTTTACCGGAGGCGAGTGGGGAGGCAATAATGCCTAGTTAGTGCAGTGGTGAGGCTGAGCTCAGTGTGCCATCCATTAGCTTGCAGTAAGCGACGAATCACTTGGCGTTAATGGATGGTCGCGCGGGGTATTCTATTTCTGCCCCTCATTTTGCTCTTTGTGAATGGAATATTTCTTCTCTTTATGCTTTGGGCCATGTTGTAGTCCTGCCCACGAGGGGAATCTCCTGGAATTGCAATATGCCGAAGCGAATGCAGATGAACTTAATGTACCTCGACTAGACGCTACAATGCTTGTCTGGATTAGTATCGTTTAGAGGACTAGGAATTTCAGAACATATTCATTGCATACTCTCACAGCATTAAGTCAAATGGTATTAGTAAAATAATGAATACAGATGAGTCGAGAGATGTCAAGGGGATATCAGCAGTACGAAATCATACTTGCAGCGACAGAGAACAAAGAAGAACTCCGTTGTTAGTTCAAGGAAGCCGACTTTGAGCCTCGTCCCATGTAAATCATAATCACAATCAATGCCTAGATGCATCCATCTCTGCGAGCACTTGGTCCACGTGCTCTGCAATATTGTATGAAAAGACCTGCTGCGTGGAATTGTTCATCACACTCGGAAAGAAGCCTGTGGCTAATGTTAGCCAGATCCCCCAATCCAATGGCATACATACCCATGATCCGCATTATCGAATACATTAGATACTCCTCGATCACTCCCATATCTCGTTTTTTGTTTTGCTTCTTTCTCGCATCGTCCAGGATGGCCTGGATCCGCGGCCGGCGTAGATCCATGTACTGCTTTGCTGCTAATTTAACCGCGTCCTTGCACTCCTTGACACTATTGTCCTCCACCTTGCCAAGGAAGTAACTCAGAAATTTCGCGAACGACTCTACATCTTCCAGTGCCTGGGACGATCCCTGGCCAGAAGTCGACGGAAGAGCATGCGCCGCATCCCCGACCAAGACTACCCCGTCTCGCTCCCACGTTGGCAGCTGCGGCGATGTCCAAGTTGGATACATGCTCTTCACGCGCGCGGACTTCAGAACCTTCTGCACGACAGGGTCTCCCCAGTGTTCATGCCGCTTTTGCAGCTGCTGAAGGACATCATCCATGTCCAGTGTTTTGGGTTCGGGGCATTCATCGACAGAATAAGTCGACCACCAGGCAAGAAGATCACCCGGTTCAGAGACATGGTGCGGTGAGTCCCGGTGCGGAGCGGTCGAAGAACTGGTGCTGAAGAAGTAGCCAAAGAAGCCATTGCCGCCGAAGACGAAGTTCATCGATCCTTTTTCCACGAGATCTTTGACTTCGCTGGACGGCAGGAAGCCACCAATACCGCAGACACCTCTACTCATGTCAGCTCTGATACTCGGAAGAGAAAGGATTGCTCACTCATAATGAGGAGGAAACGGGTCCTCCCCCGCCTCGGGGAAAAGAGCCCGTTTAGCCACACTCTTGATTCCATCGGCACCAATAACTAGATCCGCTTCAACAGCTGGGCTGCCATCTTTAAAGTAGATGGTATTCCGATCATCAGAACTGGCGACGACCCGTTCCACACGCTTCGTCACTATATCCCCGTCCGGGATCCTCTCGCGCAGACACCGCCATAGCCATTCACGACTACAGCCGACCATGTGCATCGGCGGCTCATCTCCCGCACCTGGAGCAGAATTGTCCATACGGATGAGAAGACGTCCGTGCTTGCTTTTCAGATTTCCGTGCGGAACTACATAGCCACCTCGGACAATGTCGCGGAGGAGATCCACGTCCAGACGCTTGAGGACATGCAAGCCATTAGGTCCAATACCTAGACCCCCGCCGACAATAAGAGTAGATGAATGCGTGGCATCCTCCTCTTGGCTACCCTTGGACGCGTCGAATTTGCGATCCTTGCTGGTATCGTGAGATTCGTAGATGGTGATTGTGTGGGATCCAGGGAGGTGTTTCTTCAGCTGCAGATAGGCGGTGCATCCGGAGATGCCTGCACCAATGATGGCAATTTTCATTTTGATGGATCACGGATTCATGCGAGATTCCATTTTAAATGACGAGAGGAGGTCTGAAGTATTAAAGAGTCAATTTGTCTGCCTGGTGGCGATGCTGACTCATCACGTGGGTTCCTTGTGCGAAACTTTGTATACGAGATGGATATGTTGTTGATGACCCAGTGAGAATTCCGAACAGGACTGAGAGAAACAGATTTCACTGTTAGGGAAGTTGAGTATTGGACACCTGAGTGTCAGTCCCGAATTATCCATTATACAGAGGATCTATTCATTCGAGTCATGCTTCTTAATCGCTGAAGTATATATATCCACAAGATCTATACTTGGTTGTCAATATATCGATGCGAACAGCGTCATGAGGACTTGTATCTAGTATTAAAAAGCCTGGAAAGATTTCTACAGATTAAGTCACTTAGTGCTTATTATTTGCAAGCCATGGTGGGATTCTTTAAACAAAGCATGAAATTTATTCTGGTCATCTCACCAATAGGCCTCTAAGAATGTGACTTCCATAGTGTCGGTCCATGACATGCATGACTTACACTTATCCTCAGTTGGAACATATTAATGCATGGCACAAGCTCAAGGGAGGAGAACATAGCATCTAGGATAAACCAGAGAACCCACCAAGCCTAGGGGTGCCTAGCCCGCTATGAGTTCTGGTCAAGGGAGCAAGGGGGCTTACGGCGGGACAACAACGAGCCATGTTGAGGCTTGTCTTTTCCATGTTTCCACGGCCATTTGGAGTCGAGAACTGATAAAGGCGTCAAAGAGCGTCTGCGCAGCTGGTTCCTTCAATGTGGGTCCCCTGAATAATGCTTAAAACTCCCTCAACAGATCCTTATTACCACCATTAACTATCTGAACGGGCGCATCGCCCAGCAACCCAACCAGGCCAGACCTCAGGCCGCTTCTCTGGTGATATGCAGAGAAACTGCGGCCATGGCTACATCTAGCGCGCTTTAACTCTGCGCGTAATAGGCAATGTCAACCACAACCTTATTTCTTTGGCTGTGATAAAGAAGGCATGGGCTGTCAGACGCATCAGCACCATCCAACAGCGTCTTTAAGCTAGAAGGGTGAATAATCTCTGCCATAACAGAAGGCTGCATCTCCAGCTCACAGGAACATGGCGGTCGGACTCGAAGGGTCATCCACGTAGCATCGTCGCGTCCAGTTGAGATGCAGCACATCCCGACGCGGCTGCAGTCCAGGCTAGTCATCTCTTCCAGGTCCAATCTGCGCCCCTGTTCCAGCGCGACTTGCCAAGTCTCGCGGTTGACGAATGCGATGACTGGCTGCTGAGTGTTTTGGTCCGTTATGCGGTCAGCCCAGCAGGCTTGACGGGGCTCGTTGCCGTCGAGAAGGAAGTCGGGGATGTCTTCTGCTGCTGTCCAGTACGGTAGCAGTGCTTGCAGATGAGACGGCGTAATTCTACAGAAAGCTGCAAAAAGTAGTAAAAGCGCCCATTTGTTAGTTACTGTCATCACTCATAAGACGTGGAAAGAAGGTACGAAAGGTCTCCTCGATTTGTCGTCGATATGTCGGCCCTGAATCCCCAGTTGTCGGACCGATCTTAGCCGACACCCCACAGTAGTTTCTGCCTTTCAGAGGTATACGTCGAGTTACATTTTGACAGAATCGGGCGTAGATTTGATAGGAGAGTTTCTATTACAGAGGGTACATATTAATGGATGGCAGTCTAGTGCAGTACACATGATGGTGCAATACTTCGCTATACAGGCATCCGATGATGTGATATGCGGGGACTTATATACCACCTTCACACTTCACGCGCTGAGTTGATCATCAGACAGCCAAAGGGTATTCCTAGCAAAATGGTCGAAATTCAGACACTCAGTCAACCTGATATCCAATATCATCCAGATTACGAAAAGTATCTGGCCCGTGTGCAGCGTCGCAAGGCAACCGAGGATCTGCCCAAGTCTCTTCCTCCTGGCTTCCCCGAGAAACTTTCTTCTCCTCTTGTCTGGGAGGGCAAGGAAATAGAAAAGCGGGACGACTGGATTTATAAGCTTAATGACGCGCAGCGAGAGGAGATCCACGCTGCGTTGAATAGCTTCAAGGGTACGCTATCAAACCAATCGCATAGCATGTCTAACTTCAACAGCCCTGGGCCTTGGTCCCGGCCACATCAACCAGGAGACATTCCCCCTTCCCACTCTCCACCCTATACTGAGAGAACTATCGCACGAAATCCACCACGGCCGAGGTTTCTTCGTCCTCCGCGGCCTAGACGTCGACCGGTACTCCCGCGAGGACAACATCCTCATCTACGCCGGCGTATCCTCGCATATCGGCAGCCTCCGTGGCCGGCAGCAGGACCAACGACAAGAGGACGGGACCTCGGTCGTGCTCGCGCACATCAAGGACCTGACTCGCACTCATCAAGCAGGCAATATCGGCGGACCCGGCAGCACAGCCGACAAACAGGTCTTCCACACCGACGCAGGCGATATCGTCTCTCTGCTCTGTCTCCAGACAGCCGCAGAGGGCGGCGAAAGCCAGATCTCCAGCAGCTGGCTCGTGTATAACATCCTCGCCAAGGAACGGCCGGATTTGATCTGGACATTGGCGACGGATTGGCCTGTGGATGGGTGAGTGCGCCCTCTCACCGAGATAACCTCTTACTTACAGCGTAGCTTCAATAACCCCGAGCGCCCATATACCTCGCGTCCCTTGCTCTACCACCAAAACGCAACGGCTTCGACACCCGAGCGCGTCCTCATCCAGTACGCCCGGCGGTACTTCACCGGTTTCCTCGCCCAGCCCCGCTCGCGCGATATCCCGCCCATCACTGAAGCGCAGGCTGAAGCGCTCGACGCGCTGCACTTTCTGGCGGAGGAGCACAGCGCCGCGCTGGATTTTCAGAAGGGGGATGTGCAGTATATTAATAACCTGAGTATTTTCCATGCTCGCAAGGGGTTCCGCGATGCGCCGGGGAAAGAGTAAGCTTTGCCTCTGGCGATATATATGTGATATAACTATGATATACTAACGGTCGCAGGCGACATTTGCTACGGCTCTGGCTTCGGGACCCGGAAAATGCCTGGGAGACGCCTGAACCTTTGCGGGAGCGGTGGGATATTGTGTATGGAGATGTGACGCCGGAGGAACAGGTGTTTCCTTTGGAGCCCAAGGTGCAGAAGAAGAATATTAGCGCGTAGTCTAGAACTACAGACAGTCGAGTGTGTGAAACAGATCTCTTTAGCTTTTTGGATAGGTACCAAATCAATTGTGATAAGCTCTGTGGCTGCAGGAGCCGACTTGGTAAACTTGGCGAACTCTACCTCGGCCATAGTTAAGCTTCCGGTGCTTGGCTGTAACTTTGTGGTATAAAAGTTTAGAATAGCTATTGTACGGATTGTGACATATGTGCACCGTGGGAATGATAGAATTCGATGCTCTTCAAACATGAATAGACGCCATCATGCTGACAGGATATCCACCTGTTGTATGTATCCATCGGAATCCAGATCGGCAGTTGACCCAGCCTCGGCAAGGAATGACAGCTCCGTCGGACAGAAACAGACCAGAAAATCCCCGGGTTCGTGGGGGATCAGCGTATCAGCGAGTGGAGAGTCCTCCCCGGATTCCCCCACGGCAAGCAAGTAGCGACAATTACCGGGCACTAGACGGAATAGCTTCATTAGGAGCCAATAGTCATCTCGACTATTGTTCATCGCACGTTGATCCCCGCTTCTCAATCAGCCATAAGGGGCTTCTCCTCGATCCAGTCCCAGGACCTTTATAGCGATTGTTCTACCATTTTGAGTCTCATCATGCCATCCATCGACCTCCCAGAACAGACCTTTACCATGGACGACACATCCAGACAGACGAAAACGCAGTCGGACTTTCTCGAAAAAGCAGAAGCAGAAGCAGACATCGGCATCGTCCCAGACCCAGCCAGCGAACTATCCGAGCCTCATCGTGCGTATCTGCTCCAGCGACATGGCACCCTCGACCTCGATCCTCTCCCGAGTATGGACCCGGCAGATCCATACAACTGGCCTTTATGGAAGGTAGTCTGCCCCTCCTACAGCTGCGAACATCAACTAAAGAAAACAGAGAATAACCAACCTCCTCCTGGTGGCCTTCCACGCCTTCATGGGCACGTTCATCGCAGCAGGCATCATCGCCGCGTACGAGGACATCGCCGTCGACCTGGGCGTCTCAATCCAGAAAGTCAGCTACCTCACCTCGCTGCAGATCGCGATCCTAGGCGGCGGCCCGCTGGTCTGGAAACCGCTCTCGCAGCGCTTCGGACGGAGGCCTATCTTCCTGGTATCGCTGGTCCTAAGCTGCGTGTGCAATATCGGCTGCGCGAAGAGCCCGGATTATGCGTCTATGGCGGCGTGTAGGGCGCTCGTTGCGTTCTTCATTTGTCCTGCTATGGCGATTGGGAGTGCAGTCGTTGCGGAAACGTTTTTCAAGCGCGAGAGAGCTAGATACATGGGTGTCTGGACGGTGATGGTCACGCTGGGTGTGCCGATTGGACCGTTCATTTTTGGGTTTGTTGCGCAGCGCGTGGGATATAGGTGGATATACTGGATTCTGGCAATTGTACGTTCTGCATCTAACTATCAGGATACCTGCTGACTAGGACAGACCAACGCCGTTCAATTCATCCTCTACCTCTTCCTCGGCCCTGAAACCCGCTACATCGGCACAGACATGACCTCCAAAACGTCAGCCCTCCAACGCGAATACCTCTCCCTCCGACGCATCGATCCCACCCCTTTCACGCTCCGCGAATTCTACCACCCCCTCACCCTCTTCACCAACATCCCCGTCCTGACCGCCGCGTGCGCCTACGCAATGGTCTTCCTCTTCGGCAGCGTCCTCAACTCCGTCGAAGTCCCTCAGCTGCTACAATCCAAGTTCAGACTCAACGCCCAACAACTCGGCCTCCAGTTCCTCGGGCTTATCATCGGCTCCCTCCTCGGCGAGCAGCTCGGCGGCCACGCCTCAGACATCTGGATGGCGTTCCGCGCGCGCCGCATCTCCCGCCGCCCGCCGCCTGAATTCCGCCTCTGGCTGAGCTATATCGGGTTCCTGCTGACAATCGCAGGAATGGTTGTCTTCCTAGTATGCACGGAGCACGCGAAGCAAGGCGTGTGGACCGTGTCGCCAGTGGTGGGGACCGGCGTCGCGGCGTTCGGGAACCAGGTTGTCACGACTGTGCTGACGACGTACGCGGTTGATGCGTACCCGGCTGATGCGGGGAGTATCGGGGTGTTTATCAACTTTGTGCGGTCCGAGTGGGGGTTTATCGGGCCGTTCTGGTTCACGGCGATGTTTGAGAAAGTGGGCATTGCGAGGAGTGCGGGTGTGGTGACGGCGTTGATTATGGGGGTTAGTTTTGTGCCGACGGCGCTGCTGCATTGGAGGGGGGAGAAGCTTCGTCTTCGTCAGAAGGAGTAGAGTGCATTGTATATGTATAGATGCTATAGATTACTCTCTAAAGCCCTCCGCTCATCAACGGTCAGGTCGCTCTTGGCCCGACTGATCCTCACAAACAACGCATTCAGCACTAGCCCCAAGCCTGACAATGCAACCTGGAACCAGAATACAGCTTGGTAACTCTTCCTCAGTCCTTGATCATCCGTGTTGACTTGCACGATATCCGCAAACCCCAGATGTAGCGCAATCCCGAGATGCAACGTGCAGTTGATCAGCGCGCCCGCCAGCCCCTGCTTCTCCAGCGGCATGTTACTTGTGATGAAGATGTTCGTAACGTTGAAACTGATGTCGATCCCTATCGTGCCGCAGATCATGGCCGGGAAGACGAACGCCCAGTATCCTCCGTTCTCAGGCAGGAGGGCAAAGAAGAGGCCTGATCCGATGTACCCCAAGCACGAGATGAGCATGAGGATCGTACCGGGGATGCGGTGCAGGATGAAGCCGCCGACTGTGGAGATAAGCAGGCCCCCGAACGCCATGGGGACTGTCCATGCGACGATTTGCAGCGGACTGGCGTGCATGATACTTTGCATGCTGTGATGCGTTAGCGTGGCCACAAAGCTCAGGAAAGGAGACGTACTATAACGCTCCGTACAGCAGGAAAATCCCCAGACTGCCATACAAACAAACAAGTGAGAACAGCAACGGCTTCATGTACTTGACTGCAAAGACATCCGCCGTCACCAGGGGATCCGCTACCACCCATCCCTCGACATACACAAACACCGCGAGCAACACCACCCCGAGCGCAAAACACACATCGATATACGCCGTCGCCCACTGCCTCGGCGCATGCGCACTCCCCGCAATCGCAAACACCAGCAACACCAGCCCAGGCACCAACAGCCCGGCCCCGAGCCAATCCATCCCAACTTTTCTCGTTTTCCTGCGCTCCGCAAAATCACTCGGGATGGAGAAAAACGACGTCAGAGCCGTAATCGCAGCCAGAATCCCCCCAATAAAGAAATACCACCTCCAGCTGAGAAACCTCCCACACAGACCCGAGAAGAAAATCCCCACAAAGAACCCCAGCGCCGCGCAGGCGCCGTACACGCTGAAGACGAGGTTCTTCCGTGGTCCGGGGCGGTACACGCTGCCCAGGATCATCATGCCAGACGGCAAGAATGCAGCGAGCGCGAGGCCTTGCAGTGCGCGGCAGATTACCAGCATTAGCCAGGTTTGCGAGAAGCCGGCGAGAATAGACGAGATGGTGAGCCAGGCGGCGCCGAAGAGGTAGCATGCAAAGCCGCCGTACATGTCTGCTAGACGGCCGAAGATCAGGAGCGTGGAGGTGACTGCCAAAGACAGCGCAGTGGAGGGCCAGATGGAGGAGGCGAGGGGGATGTCTAGTGCCGAGATGAGGGTTGGGAGGAGGATGTTGGAGCCGGAGATGTAGTATTCCTGGATTGTCAGTCGGTAGCAAGAGCTAGGGGACGGGAGGGCATACAGCGAGGATTTGTGACATGACGATGGAGAAGCAAAAGGTTAGTTCGGACCACAAGCTGGAGAAGCAGGGTGGTCGCTCGCGGCCTAGCCTTTCGAGGCGAGCTTCGCTATCTTCTATATCGTGGATTGCCATCTCGGCAGGGACCATTTTAACTGACTTATCCTCCATAGTCATGTTCATTACGGGGATCACTATGTCGACGATGTCAATTTATATCTGCAGGACATTCTGATTTCTAAGCATGGTCGAATCTACTCGTCCATTAGCCAAGACACTTGGAGATGCCAACCTTCCAGAATAAGTTTCTACTCGGAGAATTGAGCCCACAATCATCTACCACGCAAGATATAGTCATAGTACATCGAAGCTTGGCCTCTTGGCGCTGATACTTGGCTTCCGTTTTAGGAAGTTGTGAGGAGTGGGTCTATATACGAGATCCACCAGAATCTTTCGATAGCTTTGTTCAGAGGATTTGAGCGTCGATTTCTGCTCATATCTCGCTGGAGGACGGGAATTGCTTTCGAATCAGAAAGATATTAATATAATCGACTGTTGAGCTTTGAGTTGTCCCGCTCTCTTGCGGAACCTCATCAATGCTGCACTAAACTCACTAATCTGTCTATAATTCACTTTGGCAGGCTGCAAAGCTTACTGCGTGATGAGTAGCTACGATCGCCTGAGAAAGTCCTACGAAGTGCTCCATGGAGTTGGTGATCAGACACAAGTATATCTTCTGGAAGGCCACGTACGCCGTCATCAAGCACGTTGTCCGGACTCTCAATCGGTCATTCCGAGTAGAGCAACAGCCCTAACCCACGGCGACCGTATCTAAGCTTCCTGTCCGGTTCTCGTTGACACTGTGTCTGATTTCAGAAGCCTACTATTTAGTGAAGACAAGTTACGATTGCTCTCAAGATGAGGGTGTATCTCAGGCTCCCTCATACCGGAGCACTCCGTTATGCAGCTGGCAATAGCCATATAATGCACACCCCATTCACCTGTGCATGAAGTCAGGATAAAGGATGCATCTTCCCAGGCTTCTCATACTTCTCATAACGGAGGACTCCGTTATGCAGTTGGGAATAGTCACAGAATGCGAAGCACGATGTACTATAAAAACAGTACTCTTGGAAGCATGCAACTGATGCAACTCTTTACCTTCTTGTTACTCCTTTATTGGCATAACTTGAGCACAAAATACACTCATACACTCCATCATGGCATCCACAACTACCTTCCCCAATCTCCCAGCAGAGATCCACCTAATGATCTGCGAGTACCTTGACCCTGCCTCGGCAGTGGCTTTGAAAAACGCGACTAAACGCCTACGGTCCGCCCTTATTGTCAAGGATCCAAAGTATTTCAAGTCCAAGGACTTTGACATCTATTACATGAAGCTAGAAATGTGGCCGGAGTGAGTATATCTTCAAACAATAGTCCAGGCGGGGGAGTCATAGGAGGTGTGATCCTATACTTACATACCTCTAGATACGCAGGCTACTTTTTTTGCTTCGAATGTTGGGTATTCCAGCCAACCAACAATTTCACCGAAGACCAAGTCACGGGCAAGTGCGGAAAGAATGGGTATGCAGCGTCGAGGAGATTCTGCATGTCCTGCGGCGCGAATGGAGGCACATATCATCCCTACGATAACAACATGATGGACGACCAGATGGCCTATTACTACCGCCACCTGCAGTGAAATGGTGTACGGGCTTATCGCCAATGTGATAATTGCAAGACGTCGACTTTATGATGCTGCGACGAGGGGGATAATTTTATGGTATACTATTGGTATGCGTCAAGTCCTTATTTAAATTGGGGATACTAATATGAAGATTAAGAGACGGCACACTAGATCCATGCAAGGTCTTGCGCTTAGTGGTCAATCCAGACACGCCAGTTTATGGCTTATGCTAAACTCGGAATGTTTTGAGAAACTGGTAATTGTGTCTTCTTAGGGATCATGCCTGGGTTTTATGTTTTGGAGTTTGCTGGTGCAGTGAAGACAATGTACAGTAATATTGGAAGATCAAGTCTCGTTAAAGATACGCGACTCGTCGCCCTTTCATTCTATGATAGCGGCAACAATCCTAGCGATCCCATTCCTCTCCGGTGACCTTACGGCATAAGCATGACTATTACATGTTGTAAGAGCTCTAGTATGATATTCTAGGGAAGGGACACAATATATGCATCTCTTCCCCCATGCTATATCCGGCTGAAGTGATTTTCCTTTACCCTAGCTACTGAATCGACACTTTCCTATAATCCACGGGGTAAAGCTGGCGGCATTAGTCAATGAGTGGCCATGAAAGACGTGACTCAGACTGAAGTTAATTGGATAATCCATGACGACAGCAATAAGGAGAAGCAGACTATAGAAGATAGAGTGACGGTGAATAGATGCACAATAGCCGCCTAATACTTGTCCTCGCTTAGGTCTCTCTCATTCTCCTGAGATGCCATCAGCAGTTCGAACTCCTCGCCAGTGGCTGTTCTTGATGGCCATATCATCCGGCAGCTGATATATAGGTTAGCGGCGTTAGTGCTGTAATCAATAGAGTACCTGCTCTGAATCCTGCTGAAGTAGAAGTGTTTGCTCCCTAGTCGTAACAGTAAGACTGCCACCGGGGTTTCCGGCATTGACCAATAGGCGCGTCTTTTCCTAGTCAGATAACCTTGCTGAAAGGTACTCCGCGGATGCACGTCACGGAGTGTGGTTGCAGAAGAGAACTTTATGATATTGGGCTCGAAGGCAGCGCTGCTCCTCAGACTGCTCATAGCTCGAGAACGATTCCGGTGAAGGGAGCAGCACGCAGGATTTTAAGGACAACATCCGAAACCTTCTGGTTTGAGTCGTGCTTCGGTTGACTGCATGTTGCCGAGAACTCGAATCCCAAAATAATACTTCTCAGTTACTTTACTAGTTTCCAGAGTCTGGCGACTTATTCCGACGTCACTACCTGATCGAAATGTGCAGCGGGAACTGCATTGTAAATATGAGTACACCCATTGTGTCAATATCCCTTTGGAATTCAACCTTGCCAACTTATCCGAGTACGTTACCCAGGACGGTCGACAGACCACCTATTCACAATCCCGACAGGTGAAAATACACGATGTCCTCGATATGGCCTTGACAGCCGGCCAATATTTTACCTCGACGTGCCCTGCATGTGCACAAAGAGCTGAAGATAAAGCAAGACAGAGTATCAGCAGTGAGCCTGAAGATTATGAGACGGATGAAGGATGAATATTGAGAACAAGCCTGAACAGGAAATGGATAGGTTGGCAGATCCGGCACAGATAACGAGGATGGAAGTTCCAGTGACAACCTCGAAGACGAGCTCGGCCCTGTCTACATCCTTCATGACTCCACAGACCATGAGTATGGCGGGTGGTCATTAGGCTCTGGACGATGGTGTGCGGCTTTATCTTTTTCGAGAAATTTCAGCATCATTTCGTCAGTTCTTTCTTCCACTTTTCCTTGCCAGCAAATGCGCGGCGTGCCGTTCAAGTCAGGCTGTGAAACACAATTCATGTGGTGCATGAAGTGTTGGCGTACTTCGTTGAATGACTATGACACGAACAGCCCCCAGCAGAAGGTGTTCTGCCTGTCTATTTTCCCAGAGAACAATGCAAAGCCTTTACATATGTGATTAATTTGTACTTTGCAATCTTCTTCATTACGTGTTTTGTCATATTGGTTATCATGTCGTTGAAGTGAGATTGCAAAGCTAGGGAGCGGCTCAATGCAGTTGATATTAGTATGACCACACGAGATTTCACTGGTTGTCTGTACAAGAATGTTCCAGTCAGCTTTCACCAGTAGACTTCATCTCCTAGTAACTGGAGAGACTCTGCTTTCGAATCATACGCGGACAGATTATTCAGGATATGAGGAACAAAAGTGAGAAAGTATGCATGCTACTAAATCTACACTTCCTGGCAAGGGAGTATCTGTGCTTCGTGACGGGCTAGCTGAAGCCCGTTTACAAGTGTTGCTCTTCCTCCCATACTTCTAGGCTCTGTCCATACATTTTGCGACAAGACAATATGAATGGGTTCTAGTCCTCCGTTCGCTAATATGACTCGAAATTGAATCCTACCGGGAGTACTTTGGACGCTGACACTCATGCCTTGACGGAGATTAGCCAAGGCGAATTTTGCCAGGTACGAAGTACCTCCTCGCATTTTACGTCCAATCTTGGAAGGCTTACATGCTTGGCAGGGGATCTGGAAAACCTTCTAATTGATGGCAATGCACATCTGTATCATTTCATCAGTCATAACCAGAACGCTGGAAGATCGAGGCACTGGTGGCTTCCCCTGACCAATACAGCATTTGTCGTTGAATTTGCAGACAAGGGTACTGCTTCAAGACCAGCAGAAAATCGAGTTGGGTCTGTATCGCAGAGATAATTGCAGTTCGCTGACTGATCCGATGCATATCCTTGCCAGAGTCGTAGCTCTCGTCAGGAGACTCCGCCATGGACGACGTTCCTTTCGGTATGGAGTCTCATCGGGTGGACATAGCGAACGTCCTCACTCAAAGTAACCTGCCCCTGGCAGCTGGAGCTACCATAAGCCCGTTTGTTCGGTTCGTGTGGAAAGCTCATGAACAGGCCGGGATTGATAGTTTGCGATGCATATCGTATAGACGGACAGTCATCCTGCAGGATGAACCGACCTCACGACAGCATCAGAGTGAAGACGCCAAGCTACGAGCGGAATGGCTTATTAGTTTGACAATGCCTCGATCCAATTTCCGAGTTCGTATTCGCTACTTGCCGTAATAATTGAAGGAATGAATACGACGCGAATGTCGATCGGATACGAGGTCTGTCTGATCAACACGAGGTTATATTTAGGGGGCTATTGAAGACACCCACGTGCGTTGATATTCAAGAATGTCTGGATAACACGATCAGGAGGCTTCTCAGGCTATGGCTATAAAATCTCCTCGACCGTCTCCGACGATGATGTTGTCCAGCAACCGGCAAGATGCAATCGATGCGCTTCATTATCCTGGCACTGCTTGTGCAGTTCCTCCCAGCATGGGCAATCAACGACCCGGCCAAATCGGCCGCTCCCTACCACGATGAATTCCCTCTCTTCCGCAGCGCCAACATGGCCTCGCCAGATAAGCTGTCTACAGGAATCGGCTTCCACTCGTTCCGCATCCCCGCGGTAGTCCGCACCACCACCGGCCGCATCCTCGCCTTCGCCGAGGGCCGCCGGCACAATAACCGGGACTTTGGCGACATCAACCTCGTCTACAAGCGCACCAAGACCACCACGAACAACGGCGCAGCCCCATCAGACTGGGAATCCCTGCGCGAAGTCGTCGGCTCCGGCGCAGGCACCTGGGGCAATCCCACCCCCGTCGTCGACGACGACAACACCATCTACCTGTTCCTCTCATGGAACGGCGCCACCTACAGCCAGCACGGCAAGGACGTCCTCCCCGACGGCACGGTGACCAAGAAAATCGACTCCACCTGGGAAGGCCGCCGTCACCTGTACCTCACCGAGTCCAAAGACGATGGCAACACCTGGTCCAAGCCCGTGGACCTCACCAAGGAACTCACCCCCAACGGCTGGGCCTGGGACGCCGTCGGCCCCGGCAACGGCATCCGCCTGACGACCGGCGAGCTGGTCATCCCCGCCATGGGCCGCAACATTATCGGCCGCGGCGCGCCGGGCAACCGCACGTGGAGCGTGCAGCGGCTTTCGGGGGCTGGTGCGGAGGGGACAATCGTGCAGACGCCCGACGGGAAGCTGTACCGCAATGACCGGCCCAGCGAGAAGGGGTACCGGATTGTGGCGCGCGGAACCCTGGATGGCTTTGGGGCGTTTGCGACGGACACAGGGTTGCCGGACCCGGCGTGCGAGGGTTCGGTGCTGCAGTATAACAGCGATGCGCCGGCGCGGACGATCTTTTTGAATTCTGCGTCTGGGACGAGTCGGCGGGCGATGCGCGTGCGGATCAGCTATGACGCGGACGCGAAAAAGTTCGATTATGGCCGGAAGCTGGAGGATGCGAAGGTCACCGGGGCGGGCAATGAGGGGGGGTACTCGAGTATGACCAAGACGGGGGATTATAAGATTGGAGCGTTGGTGGAGAGCGATTTCTTCAATGATAGGACTGGGCCGAATTCGTATCGGGCGATCATCTGGAGGAGATTCAATCTGTCGTGGATCCTGAATGGTCCTAACAATTAGGTGTCGTCATTTCATCGCGATGGTGGGAATGTTTACATGTATAGATCCGCAAGGGAGTGTCTCATCCCTTGCCATCCCTAGTTTGGAAGAAATAAATACTCCTTCCGATTCTTTATTCTATTCTCCATCATACTACTCATACGATACACAATAGCCACAAAATGCACCTCTCCTGGGTCATGCTCTTGGTCGTCTCGGCCGCAGCCAAAAACACCACTGTCAGTAGTCCACTCTTACTCCAACGCAGCACTGACAGGGATACTGCAGATCGGGCTGGAAACTATCGAAGAAGGTAGCAAGACTGTCAGCGTGCCCATGGGTGATTGTCATAACATCGATTCCTAGTACGTTTGATTTGCAAACAGCGCATGCAGTATGGTGCTGACTGACCGCTACAGTGAGGTGACGACGGTGTCGGTCAAGAAGCCATGTCGATTCTTCACGTACGCTGCCATGCTCGTTTATGATTATAAACTAGCTCAGCATACTGACCAAAACAGAGGCCCCATGTGTATCGGACGACAGACACTGCTGAAACCCGGCGTCCACGAGAGCGACGAACCGGTACCGATCTGGAGTGTGTTTTGCGAGGACGAACCGGAGCATAAACTGGAGCTGTAGCTGTGACTGCCAGCGTGTACGTACAGGAAGGAAGGCAATAATAGCATGCAATTATCGTATGATTTGTGGATATTCTCCTAAAGATCGTCAGGTATTGGCCGATTATCCCTGTGCAAACAGAGCACCGTTACACAGCAGGTCGGTCTAGCTGTCAGGCAGATTTAAATACTGGACATGCCTCTATCTTGATCTTCAGCAATCATGCTTCTTGTTTTCCTTCTTGTTCTAGGCGTGGTTGCATCCTCTGACCTGCCTTGTACGCTTCTCAATGCGCGAGTTCGACGAGAATGGTATGTGATGCCATCAACAGAGGATCAGTATTGACTGAATAGGAGCTCGTTGACACGGCTTGAACGACGAGACTACATCGATGCGCTGTTCTGTCTACGGTCCCTCCCCTCGATTCTCCCAAATGATCAATACCCCGGAGTCCAGGATCGGTTCGACGACTTTGTAGCGTATGTTCCAGCCTCTTGTCTACCATGAATTGATCCATTGACGAACGGGCAGAACACATATCAACTACACCTCGCACATCCACAACAACGGCCTCTTCCTCCCCTGGCATCGTCACTACCTGCACCTCTTCGAGAACACCCTCCGCACTGAATGCGCCTACAACGGCACCATCCCCTACTGGAACTGGCCCCTCCACCCCAACCTCACCGTCTCCCCCCTCTTCGACAACTCCCCCGCCTCACTCTCCGGCGACGGCACCTACAAACCAGACGAGCGCATTCTCTGCGACGAGCAGGTAGGCTGCATCGGCCGAGGTACCGGCGGCGGCTGCGTAACAGCCGGACCCTTCACCTTCCCCTCCTGGAAAGCAAACATGGGCCCACTGAACCTCCACGACCTGGACGAGCTGTACCGCCCGCTTGATCCGTCCGCGTTTAGATACAACCCGCGCTGTCTGATGCGCAGTTTTAACGCTGCTCCGCTGCACCGGTTTGCCGGCCCCGACGCCGTGCAGCGCATGCTCGCGGCGCAAACGATCCGAGACTTTCTAGCGGTACTGGACCCGAGCATCGCGGGCCGGTTGGGCGCGCATGCCGCGGTCCATGTAGCGCTTGGGCCAACGATGGGTGATGTGTTTTCGTCGGTGCAGGACCCGGCGTTCTTTCTGCATCATGCGATGGTGGATCGGGTGTGGGGGATGTGGCAAGATGCAGGGCCGGAGCGACGGTATGCGCTGAATGGGACGGCGTGGATGTTTGATCCGCCGTGGGCGCCGAATGTGACTGTCGACACGGTAGTGGAGTTTGGAGTGCTCGGAGGGCCGAGAAAAATTGCAGAGCTGATGGATCCATTGGGGGGGGAGCATTGCTATACCTACTCGTGATCGAGCTAGATAGTCTGTCTATACATGTAAAGTCCGTCTCAATGCCATGATTCGCGCCGTCCCGGCGCCAAACTCTTCCGTATCCACCTCCCCGTTCTCCAACGCTTTGGTCAGTGCATCCACAATCGCCTCACCCTGCGTGACATTCCTCGCCGACGCAAGAATCAGATCCATCCCGGCCTGCGCAGCGAGCACCCCCCTCGCCGCATCATCACCATACGCCCCCAACGCCCCGGCCTCAATCGCATCCGTGATGGTCACGCCCTTAAACCCATGCCGTTGCCTCAGCTCCCCTTGAATCCACTTTTCACTCAACCCAGCCGGCTTCTTATCCAGCGCAGGATAGACAGCCCAGGATGCCATGACCATGTCCACCCCCACCGTAATCGCAGCGCTATACGGCGCCTCATCCACCCGCCGCAACTCTCCAAGCCCGAGGTCAATCGTCACGGGCACGAGATCCGTATTCGCGTCTGCACCCGCAGCCCCAAGGCCGGGGAAATGCTTCGCCGTGGCAATCACTTTCCGTGCTTGCTGATTGCGAATGAACGCTTCCGCACAAGAAGCTACCAACCCTGAAGTATTCCCGTACGAACGACCATACTCATCTAGAAAGTCCCCCGGCGAGCGATAAACGCCTAGCACAGGCGCCAGATTCGCATTCACGCCGTACTTGGCCAGCGTGTCCGCTGCTTCGGTACCTGTTTCCGCCGCTGTAGACGCTGGATCAGAGGACAGACCGACCTGCTTCGCGGAGAGTGTCGGGCCACCAGGGAGCCGGCGGACCTTCCCGCCTTCTTGGTCGGTCATGATGAGCAGGGGTGTGCCATTGTAGTCTGGAGAGGAGGCGTAGGTTTTCTGGATGTTGGCGATGGTGGAGGGCAGGTTGGCGTCGATGTTTTCGCCGAAGAGGATGAGGCCGCCTACTTTGCCCGAGGAGATGAGGGACAGGAGGTTTGCTGGGGGGGAGGGGCCGGGGTAAGAGTAGATTACGTGGGTTGCTGCTTTTGCAGTTGTAGTTGTAGTTGCGGTGGCTGTTGCAGTGTAGACTGCGCTGAGGAGGAGTGAGAGTTTCATTTTGATGTGTGCGTGGTTTCTTGGTGATGCTGATAGTGAGGAGGAGCTGTCTATATACCTTTGGATTCGCTAAATGAAGCCATTCGGGGTTAGATTAGTGTATCCGAGGTTGCATGATCGGCGGTTTAGGTAGTTTAGTCTGGTCATTGGGGATACTAATTGGTTGATATACGATGATACGATGCTATCCGAGCGTATAAGCAATACGCTCAGATGAATGAGTACTGACGGTGCAGTAGATATAAGATGTTACTCGTTCCAGCTGTTAATGCAACCCTAATTCGCACCCAGAACAACAACACCCTCATCAGACACTCGGATCCGGCCATTGTACACCAGCAAACCTCTTCACCACATCACGAATAACCTCATAGCAAGCCCCAACCCTCACCACCCGCATGGCCCCCAAATCCACCATGGTCGAACTCGCCCGCGGCCAACTATCCCTCACCCGTCCATAATCAACCACAATATCCGCCGCCTCGCGAATGTCTTCCTCGATCTCTTCCACCACCGTCTTCGTCCCTTGCCCGGTGAGATTCGCACTCGAGCCTAGCACCGCCCTGCCGGCAGCAGCAGCTACCCGTATCAACTCCTCTTGGAACGGACCCCCGTTGATCAGCATGGCCATCGTGCCGTTTATCGAACTCGCCTCTAGGGTTTCTGCGTCTAGTCTCGCGATTAACGGGTGATCCCATCTGTACGGAGCGATCACCCCAAGCGGGAGGTTGAGATCCACTGTCAGCAAGCGCACGAGATCCATTTTGTCGGAAGGGAGGACGTGGATCTCGCGGTGGAGCGCATAGCTGCCTATGATAGCGTGCCGCTTATGCGGCTGGCGACGCTTGACAGTGTAGATGCGCTGCAGAGCGGGAGCCTCAGTCGCTACGATTCCGTAGCCGACGCTCGAGGGGATGATACCTATCCCGCCTGCTGAGAGGACGGTAAACACGCGGGCTGCGTCGGTGGGGATATCAATAGGTGTCCGCATTGCTTTGCTATCGCAAACTGAGTGACTTGGAAAATAGAGGATATAAGCATACTACAGCGCAGTGGAGAGGTTATATACTGGGAGCAGTCGTACAAGTACAACATCATGTCGACAATTCATTGACTTAGGTACTCCGCACAAAGTACAGGATGCTGGCTACTGAGTAACCTTGAACAGCGCACGCTCAGACTCAAACTCCCCCCTCTGATCGAGCTGCTGCAGCTGCGAATCCGTCACTTGGTCGCGGGGGCACTCCCAGATCCCATGCCAGATGCCCTTTGCCTGCACGGCATACTCGTGGCCTTCTTCCAGTGGTACATGAGGAATAGTGATCGTGCGCTCCATGGAGCTCTCGGCGGGGATCTCGACTAGATCATCCCGCGAAGGAGGCAGCTGGCGGTTGAACTTGATGGTGTCGAGGGTGATTGGATGATCGGCGGTGGTGTCGTTGATTTGGAAGATGCCCAGGAGGCTGGCTTTGGGGTCGAAGGGGGTGCCCCAGTTGAGGAAGGTCACTGGGGTGGTTGCTGGGTTGTGGATGGCGATGTTGATGGGCAGACTGATGGGTTGAGTGGCGGAGGGAGGGACGGGCGAGAGGATTACTTGGAGGTTTGTCATGTCGTGCCGTTGTCTTCCGTGCAGTTCGTCAGTTGTTAGTTGTTAGTTGTTAGTTGAGATGTGAAATGAATAATGTCTGTCTAATGGACGCCGTGGAGGGGTATGGGAGGAGGGGACGAATGATGAAACCCCAAGCTTTACATGAAGATAGCAATCCACCAATTATATACACAGTGGACACTGCCAAGCTTTAGGCAAGGAAGATAACAGGGAATGAAAGAGGGGGAGGTGAAACAGGAAGTCTTGGGTTGCATTCTGTCAGTATCAGCCGGATATTAAGGATTGATAAAGTGGTCATGATCGGCACTTTAATCTATGCCTTTGTCTCTTTCAGTCAGTGATACGAGTCAGTCCGAGATTTCTCTGACAATCTGGAGTCGATGAAGCCACTCGTTTCACTAGTCTCAGGGGCAACTCAGGGTCTGAGTTTAGACTCTAGATACAGCAGATCATGTCTAGACACATCGTCCTGTCAATCAGTACACTGTCGTCGGTATGTGAATATCAACAACGCAAGGACAAGGCTGATATGATCGCAATACTGAATGATCACAACGGAATCTTACCGAGCACTTAATAAATGAGGACAGACTCTGCAGACAGACTATCTCGGCACGGACAGTCCTCTTCAGGCATACGGACCGCCGGTTAAACTTCTTCATCATTTATTTACATGCCGGACTAACCCTCTTGGCGTTCCAATCCAAAGTCCCGACGCTGATATACCTCGAGCAAACGCCGCCTGCACACACGGTCCTCCGGCGGGCCAAGCTTACTTCGTTTTCTCTTGGGCGCGATGGTGATGCTTCAAGACGCCTCGCGCAGCGGTTATGTCGGCATGTAAAACGCCATGGCGGTCTTCAGACAATCGGGGTCTTGTCATCCTGTCCAGTCGAGACTCGGGACTGGCAGATGGGATAGATGTAACCTCCTATTTTGGGCATATCTCCGTTCGTTCCCAAGACTTGTTCGTGATATCTATACTTCAATCACCAGTATCTGCGGGTCTATAAATATGAGGTTGATCCCAGGTCTGACAGAAGCATCAGCAAGAGCAAGAGCAAGAGCAGCAGCATCAGCATTAGCAAGCATCTCTATCCAATTCAATTCATTATGAAGGTCACAGTTCTCGCTTCTGCCATTCTGGCCCTCATCAATGGTGCTCTAGCTCTTCCGGCCAATGCCCCAACCCTGGATGTCACCCTGACCCAGGTCGACAACACTCGCATCAAGGCTACTGTCAAGAACACTGGCAATGAGGAGGTCACCTTTGTGCATCTCAACTTCTTCCAGGATGCTGCTCCTGTCAAGAAGGTCTCGCTCTTCCGCAATGGTATCTCCTCCTCCGCCTCCTTCCCCCCTCCACCAGGAGACAAGACATACTAACAAGTCAGCCACCGAGGTCGAGTTCACCGGAATCAAGCGTCGCCTCCTCTCTGAAGGCCTCTCTGACGACGCCTTGACCACCCTCGCGCCCGGCGCCACCTTCGAGGACGAGTTCGACATCGCCAGCACGGCTGACCTCGCCGAGGGTGGCACCGTGACCATCCGCACCGACGGTGTCGTCCCCATAACCACAGACCGCAAGGTCTCTGGTTACATCCCCTACCAGTCCAACGAGCTTGAAATCGAGGTCGACGCCGCAAAGGCCGCCACCGTACCCCAGGCCATCAAGCTCCTCGACCGCCGCACAAAGGTTACCTCCTGCTCCGGCAGCCGCGCCTCAGCCCTCTCCACAGCCCTACGCAACACTGTCTCCCTCGCCAACGCTGCTGCCAGCGCCGCCTCCTCGGGCTCCTCCGCCCGCTTCCAGGAGTATTTCAAGACCACCTCCAGCAGCACCCGCAGCACCGTCGCTGCACGCTTCCGTGCCGTCGCCAACGAGGCCTCCTCCCAGTCCTCCGGCAGGACTACCTACTACTGCACTGACCCCTACGGCTACTGCGACTCCAACACCCTCGCTTATACTCTCCCCTCCAGCAACCTTATCGCTAACTGCGACATCTACTACTCCGAGCTCCCTGCTCTGACCGGCTCCTGCCACGCCCAGGACCAGGCCACTACTACCCTGCATGAGCTCACCCATGCCCCGGGCGTCTACTCGCCCGGCACGGACGACAACGCCTATGGATACCGGGCTTCCACCGCCTTGAGTGCCAGCCAGGCGCTGCTCAACGCGGATACCTATGCCCTGTTTGCTAACGGTACCCCTCCTTCCTTCCCCTTTCCTCGTCCACTTTCAAGTGCTCAAACTAACATGATATAGCCGTGAACCTCAACTGCTAGACAGTCCGAGACCGTCACGAGAAATGAGAGATGAGATAGTGCAAGTTTACTTTACATAACAGTCAATTCATTATACTTCATTACATACCATAACATAACCATCATCCAACCATAATCATAACTATAAGCATAAGCGTAACCATAAACCATGCCTAAGCACCATTGTTAACCCGCCGACAAATCCCTTCGAGACATTTACTCCCACTATAGCAACAATCCGCATCACTCCCACACAACTGGAAATCCTCCGCGCAGCCCGGCCACTTGGGATTCGTGGGCCGGCATTTGGTTGCAGCGCAGTACCCCGAGCAGCAGGTGAGGCCGGTGCCGAAGGAGCAGGATTCTAGTCACCTGTTAGCAGACTAGCAACTCGTATGCTGGAGAAGAGTGCAAATTGACTTACGGTATACCCCTAGGCAAGTCGGGGCAGGAATACAAGTTGTTAGGGTTGACGAGGGGGAGGTGCGGGTGTAGGTTGTGCAGGTGCTTGGGGAGGGACAGGGTTTGTCGCCGCAGAGGTTATTGGGGCAGCCGGGGGATGCTATTTCGTCAGTATTGTCTTTGTCTCTGTTGGATTGTAGGTGGGTGAATACCTGCTGCAAGGGTGAGGAAGAGGATGGGTGCCAGATTGGAGAAATGCATTGTGCTGTGTATAGTTCGGTTGTACTGTAGATGGCGATGGTGGAGGCGGGTAGATGTGAATATATATATCTACATATCTACATATCTCAGCATGTCTATGTCTTACATCACGATGGATGACATGGACAGCTGACAGATGCCATCGGCCACAGACTGTCTGAATCAATACTGTTGGTTGCGTTTCAGGGTGTTTGAGACCTATCGAATTGGAGGTTGTCCACCTCGCATAGAAAGGTTGCTTCCATGTCATGACGCAAATATGCGGAGGGAATAGGTCTGAGCTGATTCTTTGCTTGCAGATTCTTGACACATATCATTAGTCGTATGTATTTGTTTAATAGAGGCGATTGGAGGTCTGGTTGTAGCACAGTAGATTCTTGATCTGCTGAGTATGTGAGTCGAGATTGTTTAAAATAGACAGAGCACAGAGCGTAGATGAAAGACGCAAGTAGCTAGACGCATTGAAGCTCCATGTTTCTACCAAGATGCAGGATCCTGTTACATCTCATGGTCATCAACTATATATCCAAGTAACCACCCAAGACGAGTACTATCAATCTTCCGTATCATTACCTTCTGCAGCTCAATTATCGAAGTCCAATCGGCTTTTTAATAGTACAGTGACAACGCTATATACATACAATATCATACACACCCCAACTTCATCACGTAAACCTAAACAACCCCCGAAGCTTTTTCCCCACTCTCCCCCAGAAATCCCGCCCCGGCGCCTCTTCAAACTCCTTCACGACGTTGTCGTAGTGGTCCGGGTTCGTCGCCGGCCGCCGCAGCTTTGGCGGTAACGGATACCGTCTCGCGTAGCGGTCTTCCAGTAATGACGAGAGGGCATTGAGCGAGGCCTCTGAGATTTCTGTCTTGGATGGCTGTGCTTGTTGGGTCTGCGCTTGTTGCGGTTGTGTGGGTTGGAGGCGGGATTGGAGGTAGGTTTGGACGGAGACGGAGGCCGGACGGACGGCGTCGGTAGGCCAGTGTTTGAGGAGATGAGAGATGCGGTTCTGTATTGTCTGGGGGTTCAGAGTCTGTAGCTGTTAGTATGGTCTTTGCGCGGTGGTGTGGAGTGAAACTCACTGGTTTGCTCATGGTGAGAAAACTGATGTGTTGTGCCTTGATTAATGCAAGAACAGCTGTAAATCACGCCCGGAAGATTCTGAGAGATGAATTAAAGATCAAGGTGTAAGCGATAGAGCTGTGGTTTTCTGTTGAACTTGATAAAGCAGATGATGGATTGATGATATCGGAAAATCGGAGATGCCCCAGATTCCAGGCCACCATTTCAGCCACATTAATCACACCAGCCACAGTGATGTCCAGTCACCGCCACCGCTGGCTGCCTGATTAGTGAGGAGATTACGGAGACGGCGGTCGATCCCCTTCCATCCACATCCTAAGTCAACGCCTCACAAGTATCATATCGATTGTTTCTCTGCATCTCT